TAAAAAATCCAATGTAAAAAAAAAAAATCAGAAATATATATTTGGAACGTCAATGAAGAATTCATAGACAAGTGTGGTAACAAATTTACGAGAGTCTAATATAAGAACAACTAAAAGCTAGTTCGTTAGACAAAATATAAAAATTATTTAAAACAATAGAAATTTATATTTTATGGTTGTAATATTTTTAACAACTTTATTTCTTTGAAAATTTTACCTAAAATAACACACTTTTTTATAAGAATTACTAAGATAACCTCTTTAATTTTTTTATTGTCCAAATAACCTACTTCACGTTTTTTTTTTCATAATACCAAAAGTATCCTTATTAACTAACTAATATTAAAAATAAGTTTGATTGAAAGAAAAAATTCAAATAAAAAAAATAGATACAAAATTTAAAAACCATTATCAACAAAATACAAAACACTCCAGAAATATGTCAATGTTTTTGTAGATTATGATTTTTTTCTCTAAAATCTACTTTTTTGGCAGAGTCTGCCAATGCCTCGTTATAGTCTGACAATACCTCGTCATAGTTTGCCAATGCCTCGGTAGAGTCTGCCAATATCTCGGCAAAGTCTACAAATGTTTCGGCAGACTCTGCCTTTTTCAAGATACCGGCAGACTCTGCTAATATCTCGGTAGAGTCTACCAATGTTTTGGCAGCGTCTACCAATGTTTCGGCAGAGTCTACCAATATTTTGGTAAAGTCTGCCAATGTTTCGGCAGAGTCTGCCTATTTCTAGATATTGGGAGATTCTGTCAATATCTCGGCAGAGTCTCCCAATGTTTCGGTAGAGTTTGCCTAGATCTCGGCAGAATCTACTAATATTTCGGCAGAGACTACGTTTTTCTAGTAGGCGCTTTAAAAGTCTTGTAAAATGTTAGTAAATTTATATCTCAGTCAACTAGTCTACCAATATTTCAACAAAGTTTACCAATTTCTCGGTAGAGTTTTCCAATATTTTAGTAGAGTCTGCCAATATTTTGGTAGAGTTTGCAAAGGACAATTTTGGTAGTATGGAAAAAAAAAATCTAGAGTAGGTTATTTCAATAATTAAAAAATGGTAAGGTCATTATAGCTATTTAAAAAAGAAGTAGGTTACTCTAGCTAATCTCCCTATTTCTTTTAGATTTTGGGGAAATTCAGAATTTAATCCACATTAGAATTTTTTTTGTCACAATACACCTTTGATGATTTTTGTCACTTTTAACCTATAATAATACCCTTAAGGAAAATATAAAATATTTAAAATAAATTGTTTTGTAATATTTTAAAAAATCATAAAATGAAGAAAATAACATTAATAGTCGTTCTGTATATCGAAATACTTTTTTAACTTTAAAACAAGGGTTAAAAATAGTTATATACTTTTCGTCTACGGCTTCCAGAATTTACATTCTACGACTACCTTCTACCGACGGGTGGAAGTATTTATGTTCTACTAGATTGTCTATCTTCTACACTATCGTAGAATATGGTAGAATATGGCATGCACAGATTGCACTTAGATCTACTCAATTTAGAACACAAATTCTACCACTCCTTATGACTTCTACCATAGGCAGAAGATAATTTATGCCACTATGTCTACCATCTACGAATCCGTAGAATGCGTTTTCTTAAAATTCAGTTATAATTAATGTTTTTAAATATACGTTACCTTAAATAAATTTGCAGATTTTGGAAATATCCCTTAAATCTAGGATCTAATATCCCCTAAATATTGCAGTTTTCTTTAACTATTTTTTTTTTACAAATCACGTTTACTTGATA